ATAATAATGTAATGTATGTAAATGTAATATTTCTGTACACCATATTACGATGTTATCAGTGCCCTACAGTCAAGACACAGGGCAACCGGTAACAACTATGGGGGGGGGGGACTTTTTGTATGAAAATTTTTTCTTCAGTAAAACGCTGTTACTTATCGGGATAAGCAGTCTAATAAAAGCCGCGACGGGAAGAGGTAGGCCTACGTAGGAGCAGTGCGATGGTGGAATTATCGATTGAAACATTATAATGAACAGTGCGAAGATGGCCGGTAAAACCACTGCGGTGATGGAATGAATAAGCGGTCAAATGGCGGGATGAACAGTGCGGTAGTGGACATAGTGGGAAGATGTAGGTGGGAAGATTGCGGTGATGAAAGACGTCGGGAAGAACAACGCGGTAAAAAATAGTGTAATAAGATGCCGGGCGGTGCAGTGCGGTGTGATGGCAAGGTTGTCGGGCGACCACTTACGTAACTGTCGGGGTCATTGCCAACCACTTTCACTACCGATACAGTAGATAGATACTGAGCATTGATACTCTTCTGTACACCATCCTCCAAGCCTACCAAACAACATACTATCATCGTGCAACCACATAAAGGAACATGCGTGGGAAGTTAAGTGCGGATTTAAATATCCAGCATTATATAGTAATCAAACACTACTAATCAGATGTCTTTGTGAAGCCAGTTAGTAGACATACCACGACTGGAAAGCTCAACTTATTATACGCCTTGTATAATCTTTTAACTAATCGAAATGTTCGTGTATTGTATCACCACACCCGCAAAATAAACATTGTATAGATTTTATATATTTTTTATGCCATCTGAGGTGGTGCCCACTACCATTAGAAAATTATGTTGAACAACTTTTAATGACAAAAAATGCTACTAATTAAGAAACCATTCAACGCAAAAATCATCTCTCTAAAAAATCCATGAATTAGCTGTCACAAAACAAAATGTTATCGCGGTTATGGACCACCCGGTACATTGAGAGGAAACAGAACGATCGATTCACGAGACGTGGCGCTAGTCGTCACAGTCATATAGACTTGGACTTGGATTCGACATCAGTCGTTCGAGAACACAATATGATTGCAATCAAGTCAGAGTTACGTGATTCAAAGATGAGAAGTTGAAGTAGTCTTCATAATTACAGTTGTGTGCTGTTGATGTATGCAGAGTTTGGTTGATCAAATCCGCCTTATCATTTCGTGACCTTTACGTCAGTAGACCCGCGGGCAATGAGGTGGATGGTTCCACTTCACCACCAAACCACGGAACTTTACATTCACACGGAAGATATAATACACTTGGTTACACTATGTAAATTTTTGTTATTTAGTAGTCATTAATTAGACGATTCCAATAAAAATTTACCAAAAAAATATTACAAAATTAGTTTTTAATAATATAATATAAACATACAGAATGACTGACCACGTTTAATAATGGAATCCCCTAACGATTTTACTGCAGTGCAGAGTAATTTCAGTTGTCATGACTATTGGATACTTAAGTTGTATCAATTGTTCAATTGATCAATTGTTTTTGCCCTCCCAAAACATCTGTTACGAATTTCGCAGGAATTAAGCTATTACCGGTACCGCAGGCAGCACGGAAATACCTAGACCTGGAACTGATTTAATTTTCGTGTTGATGTCCTCAGAGTTCAAAAAAAACCAATCGTTAAAATATATATTTATCTGTATGTCCATGGACACAATAACTCGATTAATTTTGGCCCGATTTTGATTAAATTTGGCATGAATGTGTAGAGCGGAAAAAACTTGAATGTGTTTGCGAATCAGCCAAATTGGATCATGGAAACGATGTGTTTTCCATATTTTACGCTTAAAACATGGTGAAAATCAATAATCGTCATTGGAGCCATCGTTTTGAGCATAAAAACAATTAATTTAGTATATTGAAGCATTGTTGTACATTTAAAAGTTATGGAGAAATTTAAAAAATAAGCTCTACCCATAAAATCCCTATGTTAGTTTTAGGGTGAAAAAGATTGCTGTAGTTTGCTTATTTATGGATGTATTTTGATCAAACTTAAAGAAATAATTCATTTCATCCCATACCATTAATTTTAAATAAAATAAAACACTTTTCCCCCAAAAAATCTAGTGATATAAAATCTAGTGATATTGTATTTAAATGGGAAATAAATATGAGTTATTTATGGAGGAAGTATTAAATATAAAATCCATTCAGTCGAACTGAAATTAGCTTAGTCTCCAGGCTTGCTGCGGCATGGGTATTTTGTTTCTATATTTTTAAACATTTATATATTTTAAACACTTATCTACAAGACAAGGTAGCTTAATATAAAGCATATAATATTAAAACTTAATATGGTCCCCATCCAATGCATGTTTTTGGGAATGCAGGGAATCTATGCTATTCACAAGGCTTACAACCCAACCAAATTTATTCAACTTAGAAAATGTTGAACATGATATAGCCTTACAACAGATTTATTTCCCACTCCTATATAGTACTGCCAATTTGTTATACGAATTGCCTAAAATGAATATTTAATCTATTTTACTACCCCCTACTAGTGTGACATTTCAATGTCTATAACCTATGGCGGAGTAATCCAACATAGTCAAAGCAACATTGTTGGATACGTGTTTCCGAAAGTGAACATCTGCCTACATAACGCGATTGTGTAACTTCGACATCGTTACCAGCGGGGACTCTGTGTGACCTTTCTTGGCACCACAGACTGATGTCACAACTTCTAACACTGTTCGTGTATTTGGGATTTTCGAAGTACCGAAGGAGTCGTAAAATGTTTATTACAAGTGAACCATTCTGCCGTAAAATCTCCAGAGCTTTATGGAGATTGTGGTGTTCGCCAGGCAACGGACAGCGGGAGTTGTGATGAACCGCCAAATTTCGAAGTGTGCAGTATAATTACTAAATAGATACAATTCCCTGAAATGTATCTCAATAAATGCGATTTATAATCAATCGATTGTAATAAAAACAATACTATGGATTGAATGTTTGTGCCTCTCTTCCTTTTACAGTTAGAGGGGTCCATGATGTCCGATGACATTTGATCCGAATTGTACATGCTGGCCAGTCAGCAATTATTATAAGTTTTCGACAGAACCACGCGTGACTAATTTTTGCAATAAATCATTGTTGGCCTCAGCGGCAAGGGCGATCACAATCTTCACAATGGCAGAAGACGCGCCGACATTCTTGTACAATGTACAATGGCTCACGGGCCACTGCCCTCAGCTTCCCTAGTGTAACACAACATTCAACATAACACACCGTCCATCTCATCTCATCATATCTCCACCTAGCCTTGGCAACTAGGACAGTGTCCGGGGAGTGTGTAGCTCGGTTTACAGGGCTTGATGTTCACAGACAGCTTCAATTATATTGGTCGTAAGCTTGGGTATAGTCTGGCCCACTAGTACATCAGTGCTCAGTGAGAGGACTCGCCCGCCAAACTGCGGGTTAAGTGACGCATGCCGTTCTGACGCCAAGCCAGGCGATTGCTCCGAGAGGAGTCAGTTTGGCACCCCGTAATGACATAGACGAGCTTCTTGACTATTTTTGGTAGTTTAAATTATTCAATAGTGAACAAACACGGTTCTGAGTTGTAACAGTGACTTAATGTTGACGAATTTATTTTAGCGTCTTTAGTTTGTTTAGTTATTTGATTTATATTATGTTATTAAGGATAAAATTCAACGTGAAATTGAGTACAAACGTGATTTCTCGTCACTTAGAAATGTTTTATGAACTATTTTTTCTTCGTCTAAGGATAAACAATTAATCTAGAACTAGTTAAGAAAAATTATTTGGAGTAGAACGCAGATTTTAAGAACATCTCTAAAAGATACAAACTGTGAATACAAGCTGCAGTGTCTCATGCAGTACATGGTGCTGATTCTATACTACCGGATCGTACTTGAGTACACTGCAGTACGGTACCAGTACCTTACACAGTACAAGGGCTCACTACGGTAAAACACAGCACGGTACCAGTACCTTACACCGTACAAGGGCTCACTACGGTACAAAGCAGTACGTTACCATTACCTTACAGCGTACAAGGGCTTACTACGGTAAAATACAGCACGGTACCAGTACCTTACACAGTACAAGGGCTCACTACGGTAAAATACAGCACGGTAACAGTACTGTACCTTACACCGTACAAGGGCTCACTACGGTAAAATACAGCACGGTAACAGTACCTTCCACCGTATAAGGGCTCACCACGGTACAACGCAGTACGGTACCAGTACCTTACACTGCACGAGAGCTACTAAGCTTCCCTTATACTTTCACTCCTGATAACGACCTGTCATGAATACATAATGCCTCATTTTCACAATGTTGCCGTTTAGCGAATTGCAGCCTCACCTCTTGACGGGTTAACACGTGACTCAACAGGTTATCGTTGTACAAGGAAGTCTCTTCAGGTTAACAGTTCTATCTGATAACGACAAATAAAAAATTAATTTCACACTTGAATTTAAAATGTAGGATTCACGGTTACATACATCATGTGCATGTCATCTAACCGTACATGTTATCTTAAACATAGTTTTTTGTGTAATTTTGCAGTAAGTCGCATTATTTTAACCATCGTGTGACGTCACTACATCGCGACATGTTTAGATCGGTATCAGCGACACAATATTGTCAAATACCTGACCGACCGTACAAAGGTGACTGGGTCAGTGTGTGAGACAACACAACAGGTCGTATTCCCAGATCATATAGATAGGTAACTCTATTGTTGGTATAACAAGGTATCAATACGGTCTACAAGGTGATCAACACCATAACACTCCAAGATATTCGCGAATCGTGAGAATAGACCAGTAATGGTTGATATTGAAGGTTCGATTGTACAATCTTTCTTCATGAACCTTTCATTTTGGTGGTACTTGTTCGTCGTAAAACATATGTCCTCACAATCTCTTCTACCACAAGACATTGGTCACTTACCGACACTTGGGGTCCTCGAAGTGTCCCTTGCTGTAGACCACGCCGTCGAAGGGCTCCAGGAACTCTAGATGCACTTGCATGCCTTGGTCCGTGCATTGCACGTCCAGTCGCTTCAGGTCGAGGTGGTGATGCCTCGCATGCTCTGCTATCTCATTGTTCAGTAGCTGACGAGTCGTCCGCGTTGCTACGACCACTGACTGCGCCTCATCGTGCATCTCCACCATAGAGTAGTCGTCGGCCGGATCCAACCCGGAGTCCAACTTGTCGACTCCATGGGAAACCTGGAAACACGTTCGATTAATAAAGATGTAATTAAATACAAATTCAGGGTTATTCATGTAATGACAATAACTTGCACATGGATCGTTTCCTAAAATATTTAGGAAGATAAATATCTATTTTTTTTAATGTTCTAACTGTATTCACCGTATAGACTTTGAACCTGTGGGACGAACTTATTAAGCTATATGTTACATGGTTGTAAAGATGAAGCAGTTCCGACGACATTTAGGGGTGGGCCTCACCAAAACGTAGTTTGTCGATCTAGCTACAATGCACTTGTAAACTACTGCACTTTGTAATCACCTATATAATCACAATGAAAAAACACCACAGGTATAACATTCACAATAGAAGTCATTAGACCAAACCGATCGTTCAAGTCTCCGAGTCAATGGTTCTTCACTCCGCACACACCACCGTCAACAAACTTAAAAGAATAACTTAGTCTAAAACGCGGTTTATTTCATTAACTCTTTTTATCGTGGTAGCTAAAGATACTGTTCTAAGGATTGGTTTTTTGGATTTTATTTTTTCGAAGACCGGAGACCTATGTATTTGCCCTAATCAAACGTAACTGTAATTTAAACGTTTCCAAGTGAATCTGGTAAACAATTTCCCGGCGACCTCGACCCCAATGGAGGAGGGTCGCTGAGCTGACCTCATGAACACATTCACACGCACACACACACACACGCACACAGGTCTGTTGTCTGGTGGGAATGACTATATGTAATTTGTAGAACTAATCCGCTGACTAGATGACGAAACTGTGGGCACTAGAGAACTTTCTGTAGACACGATTTGGTATACTGCTTACTTTCTTTGTACAGTAGGTGGCCATATGAAATCACTCGGTTTTGTGTGAGACAATCTCAGCAAAATGATGAATAAGCATGTGCTTGTCTTAATAATACTACGTTTTTTCGGTTGTTTTGAAACGTTCCAACCGTGTGGAAACGTGAACTTCTATTCGATTAAGATGTTTTCATTGTTAAAATATTTACATTTAATGTTATTTATATTTCTAACAATTGATATGTCGAGTTGAGGTAGAGCTAGTTCATACCAACATCATGGTTATTATTAAATAACATAGTTATTTGTGTATTTCATACAAATTTAAGTGATTTGCAAAAAAAGCTAATATCGACGAAACATCTTCTTGAGGTGACATACACTTAAATAAATCCGGTCAAAGATGAGTGTTGATGTCAACAGTCGGTGTTGCTATTCCATGATTCACCAGCAGTTGCAGCTGTGAACGACTACCTTATCTGGCAGCGGAGAGCGTGTTGTGTGACATTCTCACATCTTACTGACGAATGTTATCGTCTTAGAACAGTCGCAGTCCATTCGATTGATGTTGAAGTGGCTCATAGTGGCACATAGTGGTTGAGAAGTTTCTAACCCACTATATGAAAAACATATCAGTAGAGGTGGAAACACTGCGCTTATTTTTCCGAAATCTATATTTTTTTAACATATTTATCATACCTTTGTGCAGATAATTTCACTTCAAGTATACGTGATAATTGAAATTTACTTGCTATGTACCATCCCTGACAACCTTAGTTTAATCATTGATATCAGTTTTCCAATGTAATAATACTTTCTTGAAATAAAACAACAAGGAAGGAAGTATTTATGTTTCAGAGGAATCAAAAATTTTAACCAGACTCTGATTGGTTTAGAAACCTCCCCTGTCATTGCAGAGTTTTGCGACTGACCACTCCTTTACTCACACCATTCAGATATATTTGTATTGAGAGAAAGTTAGATACAATGTCACACGTCCACAGATGTACCCAGATCACTCGGAGACAATGGTCCATTAAACATCCTCCGTAACACTCTAGTAATTGTCTATTGGGACAGACTGCGACTCTTGACATTTACAACGGCAGTGGTTTACCAACACTTAAACATCATTATGGACTTGTAGATGATATCATCAAGTAATCTTCATCAAAGTCCATCATCAGAATCGCCGACGTTTCATCAATCGAACTCAGTTTCATAACCATCAACAATGCCGGACGTTATGAAGTTTATTAGTTCTTACTATTAATGGACAAAATTGTCAAACATAGTCTTCAGTATGGTACATTACATGTTACATACATTATACATTCTTTATGGAATACATTTGCAATTTGGAAATATTTGTGTCTATTCCAACTTACAGTTATAGTGTAGGACTCATTTTTTTTACTCGATGCGTTTCTTCGGTTTGGTTCAACTATTTATTGGAATGTTATAGGTTCGTGCGATCTTAGTTTTGATTTACTAGGCGTCAGCTAACATGTTCGATTACTTCTTGCGCTAGACTTTATACCTTGTTATGTAATGTTAGTCTCATTTTACCTTTAAATCAAACCCCCCAATCTGTGTCACTACTACCGGCACAATAATTCCCACCAACCAGGATCGTATGTCCATTTATCAGCCTCTATTGTGTGTTGCATTGATCGTAGACAGCTGATTTTCCGTTGATTTATCCTCATCTGTGCGACCTTTGTAGCTTCAGACACTGACCTCTCATTAGATGCCCCTTGACCTTTGCCCTATCTAACGTAACATGTTACGATATTAAGCTGTCATTAATTGCTTTGTTGGCATTTGCGTCGAAAAAGTTTGGAAACAAGATGAAATCATGGGATTTTTAACGAATTTGTTCATCTAGTATACAAATATAACTTAACTATCTAGAGTTGAGCGAAGGTGTAGGGTGGGGTTGTAGCTAGTATTGAGTACAATAGATTACTAACAGTCAATAGTTAAAGTAATATTATTTTACTGAGGCCAGTTCCAAGTCATTGAATGGATCTAAATATTAAAAGAGAAAGAATGTTTGTATAATTTTAATGTAGACTAAACACACAGTGCTGATGAACAGAAATTACCTAATGGGATAAAATAAGATGGTAAATCGTGACTTAAAAATTGTCAAAATTGAGTGGGCCTGAAATAACTAATACCAATTAAGAATTACTCATTCGGAACAACACGAGTGAAAATTTAAATTAGTTAGACATGTTACATTTATTGGCAAAATTATTTGTAATCCCTTCTAATATTCACAATTATTGTACAGACAATTAATTCTTGGACCAATTAAGAGAATATTCCATTTTCCGTGAATTATTTTTTGGTAACAACCTCAGTACATCAGCGTTAGTATCATAAACGGTATCAGTAGAAGTATACCCTCTCTTTCTTAGCTGAAACTCTAAATTAACTTGTTAATTTTAGGATGTTAAATCTGGCGTTGCAAACATGTAACAACCAATCAGAAATGTCGATAGGTCAAAACATATTGATAAGTTTAACACTTGGTGAATATCGACATTTTAATCGACAAGCAGATAACATAAGTTAGCACCGTATATGAATGAAACATAAGAGAAGGACCAACGATTTCACGATCTTAAGAGGCAATCTTAACGACCCTATAAAAATCGAATCAATAGCAGGTGTGAATGGCGTGTAAATGTCAGCTGATTAAAGAAGCATCGCCTTAGTCACGATCAGCTGATTCCATTGAGCCCGGCCCCATACAGAGCGAAGCCACAATTTATAGGCCTGCGAGCTGCGTTGCTTAACCGTCCATCTGGTGATTTACTATTTAACGTGTTCATTGTGTAACTTATTTGTCTACTTTTAAGATGTCATCCATTACAATATATCTTACCTCCAAGAGCTTGGTTTATTGGGGTGAATGCGATAAAGTGTACAAGACTGTGGTAGTTTTCCTTCGGGAGCGACTGTTGTGAAACAAGACATGGGTTACTCAAGCTTCAAAACTTAAGTATTTCACATTTATTACAAAGATGATACGTGGTCAGAATAAATCCACTCAACTGTTCAGTAAACCCACTAATAACAGAAAAACGATGCTTGCACCAAACATGGTAAAAAATATACCAGCAATGCGACAATAACACAGAGCTGTTCTACTTATAAATTTAAATTCCTAAAATTAATTTATTCTGACTAAGCCACTGGGGATAATTTACAAACAGTGAACAATATAACACGTAAAAAAATCATAGGGGTAACAAATCAAAGTATTACACCTAAAAACCTGTGGTTCTAAATGCATTTTTTTACACATATTTTTAAATATTTCTGGCTAAATGTGAGATGACCAAGATCAAGATTATCCTGTTGACTACATCAGCTCCTAAACGCCTACGACAGTCGTGAGATGTTGACATATCGCGGACCGAGGTGATTTATTACTCAGGTGTCTGAGTATAAAGTTGGCTTTTTAGCAACCTGATAACCCCATTGCCGGGTCAATTTAGTGACCTGACCACCGTCACAAGGACAGCAGGCTGTTACAAAATATCACCAGCGGCTTCACAATGTTGGACAACTTTACATCAGAAGGATTTATGTTATACCCATGAAACACAATTTATATGAAAAATAAGAAAGGAATTATTCATCGGCAAATTTAAAAGAAAAAAAAGTATTATTAAATTACAAATATTTCCCCCGTTGGCCAAACTATTGATGTGCATATATGGACACAAAATGGCATACTAAAACTTTCACCTTAAAAATCTAATTAAAATATCTATTTTGGTGGTAATATATATATTTTATTTTAATAATGCTATTAATACAAACCATAATTTTTCCATAAATGCATGTGTCCATTTCTTTGGATTGTAAGTGACTAAAAAATTTTGATAATGTATTAAAAGCCTTTAAGTCATTTTTGGAAATGTAGTCTTTCCCGCTTTGTTGGGGTTTTATGGGGGAAAATGACCGCAAAAAAGCAAGGAGTTAACATGGTTTAGATTGTGCTTACAAATCCAATTAGTTTGATAGTCGGACCTGTGGTAAAGCTTAACGCTTAAAACTAACAGTTTCTCCACATACTAAACTATTGGGGACAAAGTCATTGTACTGCCGCGATCTAGCACCTTACTATGGAAACGAACCACACTAACAGAATCCCATGTGATATTTTTGTATTGCAATGCTGTTA